GGATTTTACTTTAATTAATTAATTAATTTATTTATTTATTTATTTTTTGGTAAGAGCAAAGGTTCAAGTTGGCCTTGAGCTCACTACGGAGCCCAGGCTGGCCTTGGCCTTGCAATGATCCTCCTGCCTCATGGCAGCTATTTTTCTAGCCTACATTCTCATTTATTAATTACCTGCAGACTCTTTTCATTTATTAAATATTTTCCAACCTTTACCAACATAAAGTACTTACCCACTTAGCAATTGGACACCCCTGAGAGCTTTTTCCTTCTTTTCCCGTGTACACAACTTTTTCTATCCTTATTGCCTTCCCTTTTTGGCCATACCTGAGGACAAAAAAACAGGAAAAGAATGCAATCAGTCAGTTGCCTCCAGTCTTGACACATGCAGCTTTTAACATTTACATGCACATCAAAGAGGAAAGAACACAAGTACAAAAATGAAACACTTTGGCATTTCCTGTTGTTAACAACCAGCGTTTGTGTGGCTGACATTTTTGTTCTCCAGTTCAATTTACTTCTCCTTACAGATCACTCTTTAGAGGCAACCTGCTCATGTCCTCCTCCTGTCTCTCTTCTAGGACAGGAGCTTTCTTTCCCGCAATGAACATATTATGCTCTTGACCTCCAAAAACATACCCTCTTTAGAGACAGCCTGGTGTCAGGACAAGTAGAGGTTTATGTGGTTCGCAGGGTGCTAGTGGGAGTAATACAAATGATCTCTCGCATTAAGACAATAAATATAAATAACGATTCCTCCGCAGATCAGTCTTTGGCCCGTGCGGGTAACGCAGCTGTGGCTGGCACCCTGAGGGGGGTGGTGCAGCACCTGCGGGCTTGCTCTCCGCTCCACGGATAAGGCAGGTTAGCCGGACGCGCATCTCACCTAGTCTCCATGATTTCCCTGACCGCAGCCACGGTTGGTCCTGCCCCCAGGTGAGTGTAATAGGGGCCTTTGTCTTTTTGTAGCCCCCGATCTGTGGAAGGAACAAGATTATTAGACCCAAAATTTTACAGAAGTGCAGAGAGGCAAGGAAGAGCTATTTTATTTTATTTTATTTTTTTAATTAAGAAAATTTAGAACAAAGAACACTGACAAAGTTTTGGTTAGCTTTCCTAATTAAAGACAAGGACAACTGGTCTTAATGCAATTTATTGATGTCAGCTTCCTACTTCTACTTCTACCTCCAAGATTCAGAAAATAAAAAATGTATTATTATGATATGGATCACATTTATTTCCTGCTTCAATTTTGTTGTTGTTGTTATCATTGAAGTACAAATTAGATGTTATCCAACATCACTGGGTTGGCCGCAGAATTTTACTAAAATTGAGCCCAGAAATTTTATTGTTGTGAACTTATTTTATTGCACTCTTGCACAACTGTATTTATAATGTAAATGTACAAGAATGTTCTGTGTTGTAATTATCTGCAGTATCAAAAAAAAAAAAAAAAAAACCAACCTTAAGAGGTCAAAAAGTGAAAGGTTAAATAAAGAATATACAGCTTATATAACAGAATACAAGAAAGTTACTGAAATCTTTTAAAAGCTACTATTTCAGGGCCAGGGAGATGGCTCAGTGGAATAAGCACCTCCCTGGCAAGTGCAAGGACCTGAGTTCAATCCCTGGTTCCACAAAAAAAAAAAAATAAAAACTACTATTTATTTGAAGAGGCAAAGTTGCAAAAAATACTGTTTACTGATTCAAATATATTTATTTATTTTTTTTGGGGGGGTGGAACCAGGGATTGAACTCAGGCCCTTGCGCTTGCCAGGCAAGTGCTTATCCCACTGAGCCATCTTCCCAGCCCCCTCAAAAAACTATTTTTAAATTTTTGTTGTTGTTGTTGTTTGAGACAAGTCTCTCTGTAATTCAGACCAGCCTTAAACTTACGCCATAGCCCAGGCTGGCCTCAAACTTGCAGAGATCATCCTGCCTCCGCCTGCAAAGTGCTGGAATTATAGGGCTGCATCCATAAAAATACTGGTCGCACACCTTGCTGAAAAAATACTGGGGTTTTTTTGGCAGAACTGAGGATTGAACTCAGGCCCTTGTGCTTGCCAAGGAAGCGCTTATTCCACTGAGCCACCTCCCTGGCAAAAATACTGTTTTAAAAGATGTACATTCTGTAAAACTGGAGACAAAAATCAAAATGGGAAGTAATAATGTTTACTCATTTCTGTATCACTGGAATTTTGTGGACCCCAATTACAAATTGCTTGGAAAACAGTACCTTTAACCCCTCAGAATCCTGTGCAAGTAGAATCACTGGAGAATATCTTCCTTTTAGGCATTTCCAGCCATGGTTTATCTACAACAAACTCACTAATCAATCTGAGTAGAGAAAATACAGCACAGTGGCAAATGACTACACTATATTTCTAAAGCTTTTGCATCAAGAGCTGTCGAAGCAATTTTAACTTCTTGGTGGTGTATAGCAGTGGTTGTTACACCAGTACTCTGTAGAGGGGCTGACCCTAGCTAGCAACACCTGCGGGCTTTCTCTAGCTGTGACACTGCAGTGGGCTACTTGCACAGTACTACTGGCACCTGGCAGGTAGAGGATGGGAGTGCTGCACACTGGCACTGGGGAGACCCCTTGCACAGAGAATCATTGGACCTACAATGCCAACGGTGCTAAAATTTCAGAAATGCCAAGATAGATAGGATCGCTTACTGGGTTTTGCTAGAGCACAATATATACCCCAGAATGCCTCTGTCCTAGGGTATAAGGCTCTTACAGGCTCTAAGTGTGTTTTAAAATTTCAATTCCTCAGGGGCCGGGGAGTTGGCTCAGTGGAATAAGCGCTTACCTGGCAAGCGCAAGGGCCTGAGTTCAATCCCTGGTTATGCAAAAAAAAAAAAAATTCAATTCCCCTTCCTTCACTTGAGCACAGTAACTTCACACTCCAAGATTAAAGGAAGACATGTAACCTACAGTGTATAAAGCAGTTCTGGGTATATTCAAAAAATTTGATCAACTAGGAACCTAGCTATCCTACGTGCTGGGACTAGTTTCAAGGCATGAAGAAAGGGTCTCTTATTTTGGTGGTGTTGGGAGTACTGAGGATTGAGCTCTGGGCCTCTGCACTGAGCTACATCCCCAACCCTTTTAAAAAGCTTTTGGACAGGTTCTCACTAAGTCTCCCATGCCGGCTCAAACTTGTGATCTTTCTGCCTCAGCTTCTTAGAAGTGCTGTGACCTCACATAGTTGCTCTCCTGCCTGGCTAGACTTGGGTTTGGAAGCAACAGAGCAGGGAGGTTAGAGGCTTTTAGAAAGCCTGTATCTTGGTCCTGGTTCAGTTGACTATGGGCTGAGAACTCCTGTGTCTGTTTCTTTATTTGTAATCCAGGGATGATAAGCCCTCCCTCACACACGGCACAGTGCAAAATGGGTAGTGAAAGCCATTATCCTTGCTCTTGCCTTCTATACCTGGCCTAAGAACTCTTGTTGTCCCAATTCATCTACATGTCACCTTTAGCAAATGAGAGATCCCTCCCCAAAAGCCCAGTCCTTGGTATCTGGCCCCCAGAATCCTGTTAATTGCCCCATTCTGGAGCCACCAACTTATGAGACAAAAAGAAATCTTGAGCTTTTGTGGTCTGGGCTGTATTTCAGTGAGACTGTTGGAAGTACTAACCCTATAGATAACAAAGGCCGTACTATCATAGTTGTTTAATAGCTGAAATATCGAGGCTTCAAGTTGCTTTACAAACTAACTCAATCTATTTTCTAATTTTTTTACATTGCCACTTTTTTTTTTTTTTAGTGTATTTGGCAAAGGGTCTCATTATACAGCTTGGATTCATAGTGATCCTCCTGTTTTCAGCCTCCTGGGATTACAGGCATGTGCCACTACACGGCTCAGTGTGCCCAGAGGCAGGGCTGGCATGGCACGTGATGCCTGGGATTGAACCCTGGTCCCTGCATTAATTTTTAAAGCTGATTTTTTTTTAACTTATGTGCGCATTTGACATGAAATTGAAACATATTCAATGACTATCAGTATAGGATTTGAGTTCAACTTTCACGTACTCAAGTATGTGAACAAAATTTCTCATAGAAACTGACTCTTTACCCCAGCTAGATTTTGTCAGGGCTTTTAAGAACAGATAAAACTAGTTGTTAGTTCTGCATGTTCTCTTTCAGTGACTTCTAAAGGCATAAAACATAAATCTTGAGTTAGAAATTGGTCCTTGACTCCTCTTTAACATAAGCCTATTTGTTGCTTTGTTAAAATAGTAAATTATTTATTTACTTATTTACATTTTTGAGTCAGGGTCTCATTATGTAGTCCAGGCTAGCCCTGAACTTACTATGTAGCCTATGCTGGCCTCAACCTCATGATGATATGATTAAAAAAACAAAAAAAAAAAAAAAACAAAACACCGTTTTAGCTCTGATATGGAAATTCTAGATACTTTCATGGTTATTTGCTAAATTGTGCAAATGTTTTACATTCTCTATGCACTTTCTATCTCACACAGAAACATTTTTAATAAAATCCTTTTGGCTTGAAATTCTTTTACACACAGAGAGAACAAATGTGATGAAGTAGTAAGGGAGTTCATTCTTACACTGTAACAATACACAATTGAGACATCGGCTCTGAGACAAATCAGCATATTTTCCACCAGAAAAAGTTTACCTTCATTTTTCCAAATTATGAGCTGAAATTTCCATTTTTCTGAGCAGAATGAATAAAGGTCCAACAGAAAAATGGGTACAGAATTACTTAGTCCGTCTTAGCTAGAATAAGAATGGGGCAAAAATAACCACAAAAGATGAATCAGAACTCGATTCTTTCATGAGGTGCAGCAATTTGTGCAGGTGAAAGAACAACTCTACCCCAGCACTTACCCGGACAGTCGCAGGTTGGCACTTCGGTATCTTTTGTCGCAGCCACTAGGTTTTTGGCAGGTTTAGTGAGGAACTTCATGGCATAGTCATGAAAATTCTTCTGTGCACCATCTACAGGGGAAAACTCGGACGCTGCGACACCAGGTGAACAGACTTCCTCATCGCTTTTGGTAGCAACCACTGTAATTCCGCCTGAACTGACGACGTTCAGGTTCCTGAGAATTTGTGCAGGGTCTGGCAAAGGGATCTCGGGAGAGACAGAGGGTGGCACTGTCAGTCTCTGTGGCATGAGGTGCTCTTGGGCATCCTGTGGAAAACGTGTGTGGTCACTGCCAGCCACTTGGTTAGCACTCTGGTGAGGTGGACAGGAAGGTGGGGACAAGGGGTGAGCTTTCAGGTTGCCACTGACCACTGCTGGTGCCTGAGAAGTGGGAGCTTTATCAGCACACGCTTGCCCGTGAAAATCGGTCTCAACATGAAACACTGGAAGGGAATCCAACGGTTCAGCCTTCACCATCTTCTCATGTGCTAATTCAGGGCATCGCTCAAATTTGATCTGACTGAGGGGAGGAAATAAGTTTTTGTGTTGTAGGGTGGTTTTGGCTTGAGCCAGTGGTTTCAGAACTTTGGAAAAAGCAGGAATTTTTCCCAACAGAAGAGGAAAATCATGAGGGCCAAACTGACCAAATCTTTGAAATTTGGATGCCATCCAAATGTCATGTAACCTACTGTACTCATAGGACAGCTGCTCTCGCTGTTTCCAATTATTTTCTGGACAGGTTATGACTGCAGGCTTCTTCCGCCGATCTCTTACAGGGATGGACTTGGCCTTCTTTTGGGTTGTGTTCTTTTGTTTAGCTAAAGATAAGCCTTGGCTGTTTTGTGTGCTTGGAGATAGCTTTGGGGGCACGGGGCCCTCTTCCTTGCTCTGCCTTTGCTGTGTGCTACAGGCAACAAGGCTTGCTTGTGGATTCGCTGCATTACTGCCCTCTGCTTTTATATAATTGCATTTAATTATTGATGCAAGTTGTGTTAACTGTGTTGCAACATCTTCCTCAATTTGGCTGTAAGATGTGTCCTGACTTAATGGATCTTCCTTGGAATGCAAATTTTTACTACTGTCCAGCAATTGCTTACAACACCCCAACTCATTACTTGTTGGTGGCAACGGATGCACATTCTGGGAACCAGCATCAAGAACAGTCCCACTGCTGGTGACGCTTTTACTAGTGTCGATTTGCGTTGAATTGGATTTTGGTGTCAAAAAAGACACAGTATTTTTTATTTTTGAGTATTCAGGTGGCTTTGTGGGTGCCTGGTTAGCACTGGGGCCAATCTGTGGCTTGGACAGGGGGTTCTGGCCATTGAACACCACTGTGGGACGCAAACTTTGCTTTTCTAAAGAAGGACAATGAGGAACGCTTTGCAGCTCTTCCTGGAGGTGTGGGTCTCGCAAGTCTTTTCTTACAGAATAGAGGATGGCTTTGCAGCTGTTAAGCAAGCTGGCTGCTCTGTGAGCTGTCTCTTCCTCCTTCTCTGACTTGCAAGGTGAGGAGCTTTCTGATGGGGCTTCAGAGAGTTGCGTCAGGGCCTCGATGGCAACCACTTGTTCCAATGTTAACCTTCGGTCTTTCATGAGGGACAGAAGGGTGGGCTGCACAGGGGAACCCCCTCTCAGCTCTTGGTTTGCTACGGCCTCGAAGGTTGTAGGCTGGTCCCCTTCACGGTGTGTGTGGGTCTGACTGTTAAAGTGCAGAGCATCTTCAGATTTGCAATTAAAGCCAGGCTTTTGGAAGACGAAGATATTCCTCTTGTCCTTTAGGCAATCACAGCCCGTGCTAGAGACTGTGGAGCTCATGGCATCATGGTTTGCAGCGTCTTTCAGGAGTTTGTAGGGATGGTTTCCCAAAGCCTTGCCAAATTCTTCAATACTGAATTTGTTAAATGGTGTGTTTGTTTCAGCTGGCAGACAGGTCACATTTTTAATGCCATTTTTAATTGTTGTTTGTACAAACAGTTTTGGAGGCTTGGCTTGCTTCTTGTCATCTTCAGGCTGTTTTGACTTTTCAGCTTTGGGGACATTTGCACTGAAGTCGCAGCTGACATGCTCAGCTAAATGTGACTTCTTGTTCTGAGCCCACTTCTCCACCTCCATACCTGTCGTGCTCTCCCCATTGTTCGTCACATTTTCAAGGGGCTGTGTGTTCAGTTCCAATCTTTGTTCTTCCCCATGACCACCACTACTGTATTCCATGGATTCCGACTTGAGGCCATTTACTGGTTTGTTATCAAAATCTGCCTGTAAAACAAGTCCAGAAATCACTCATCTACCTAAATGTCCAAACAAGAATCAAAGAAGCGGGCCGGGGAGATGGCTCAGTGGACTAAGCGCTTCCCTGGCAAGCGCAAGGGCCTGAGTTCAATCCCCGGTTCCGGAAAAAAAAAAAAAAAAAAAAAATCAAAGAAGCTACAACTGGGTAATATCTGAACATGAGGCCTTCTAGGATACAACCTAAAGCAACATATTCAACATATTACAGTCAATATTTTCAGAGCATTCAAGAGATACCAAAAAGTTGGGCATAGAATTAAAGGAAAATGAGTATCTATCTGAATCCTTCACCTAGTCATACTTGATCTACTCATTTGT